TGAAGTTTTTTCCTAACTCTGTAGCCTCTGGGGAATAAATACAGACGTCTTTGTACCGATCCCTCAGACTCTACTAAGCTTGTCCGTGAATTATGAGACCTAAGTAACCTAGAGCTCTAATACAAACTTGTCACGACCCGGATTTCCCATCCTCGGGAGTCGTGATGGTGCATACTAGTGAAAGCTAGGCAAGCCAACCATTTGAATTATTTACCTTTTTCCCATATTTTTAATCCTTTACCAATTACGAGCCAACATTATATAAACAACAGAAATTAAAAGCGGAAGACTGAAATGTAATATATTAATAAAGATGACAATACTAGTCCATACATAAACTACCCAAGACTGGTGTCACAATTTCACAGACTGTCTAGGAATACTACAAATAAAGGTTCAAAAGAGTTATTATAACATTGTCTCTGAAATACATAAAAGAAACAGAATAAAAGGATAGAAGGAGATGCCAAGGCCTGCGGACGCTTGCAGGACTACCTCGGATCTCCGAATGGACTGAAGGCAGCAACCCCAACGCTAAGGTCTGAAAGCTGTTGCACCAGGATCTACACACAGTGTAGAGTATAGTATTAGCACAACCGACCCCATGTGCTGGTAAGTGCCTAGTCTAACCTCGGCGAAGTAGTAACGAGGCTAGGACCAGACTACCAAATAAACTTGTGTAGTTAAATCATATACCTCGGAAAATAAAAGCAGGAATGTGCAGTTAAGGATGGGAGGGGGAAACATGCTGCGGGGAAACATCAAATGATAACAGAAGGACAACAGGTAAATATAAGGAACACCATAACTTAATTATCAACAAGAATCAGAAATCAAACAAGTGCACGACATCACCCTTCGTGCTTTTACTCTCGTCATCACCATAAGAATCAATATAATCTTCACGGCATCACCCTTCATTATTTTATTCACGTCCTCACCATAAAAACCAATATAATCGGCACAGAATTGTACATCGTGTGGCACGACATCACCCGTCATTTTTTTACACTCTTCCTCACAAAATTATACACGACATCACCCTTCGTGCTTTAACACTCTCTCACCAAAACAATGCACGACATCACCCTTCGTGCTTTAACACTCTCTCACCAAAACAATGCACGACATCACCCTTCGTGCTTTAACACTCTTCCTTGCCCAAACAACAATAACAAGCAATAAGGGCAAGGTAATAAATAAAATCACAATAAAATCCCGGCAAGGAAACAATATCAAAAGCATCAACATCCCGGCAAGGGAGACAATACAATAATCCTCTTTGTCTTTTTCACATTTACTTCACAACTCACTTGACAACTTGAACCAATGCTCTATAAGGTTCAATTGCCAATTATACTTCCACAATTCATTTTACAACTTCAGCCAATGCTCTTCAATATTCAAATACCAATGTTACTTTTCCAAGCTTTGCTCAACAATAGAAATCATCACATAAGGCATGAGCAATACAAACGGAGTCATATTAATCATAATATAAGACTCACGAGCATGCTTGATACCAACGTCTAGATACTCGTCACCATGCCTATACGTCGTACTCAACAAATAATACATAACAAATATGACATAACTCCTAAGCCCTCAAGCTATGGTTAGACCAAACACTTACCTCGATGCCACGAACATAATTCAAGTCTCAACTATCACTTTACCTCTTGATTCCACCACCAATTCTCTCGTATCTAGCCACAAGTTACTTAACTATATCAATAAATGGTAAATGAATCAATTCCAATGCATGAAAATAGGTTTTCTAAAGTTTTTCCCAAAAAGTCAAAAGTCACCCCTGGGTCCACATGGTCAAAACTCGAGGTTCAAATCAAAACACAATTACCCATTCCACCACAAACCCAAATATATAATTTATTTTGAAATCGGATCTCAAATCGACATCCAAATCCCTAAAATTTGAAAAAACCCTCTACCCAAAACACCCAATCCCCCCCATGAAAACCCTTGATTTTGAGTTGAAATCATGTGAAAAAGATGTTAAAGATTGAAGAAAATAAGTTAGAAATGATTTACAATCGATTTGGAGAAGAACCTTTCTTTGGAAAATCGCCCAAGAGAGTTTATGTATTGAAAGGGTTTGAAAAATGAAAGATTTTCGGCTAAGTCATGAATTTGCAGGTCGCAGATATTGCAATTGCGAACCTGCTAGTCTCGCATTTGTGTTCACTGTTCGCAATTGCGAACTTGCATTTGCGATGGGGTAGTCGCATTTGCGACAATGGGGATTTCTGGGCCTTTTCACATTTGCGATGAAATGATGGCATTTGCGATCAGGCCTGCCCAGGCCTTCTCTCGCATTTGCGAGATGCGAAGCCTGCAGACCTGCAACATACCAGCAATTCCTAAATCCAAATTTGACTCTGTGGCCTATCCAAAACTCACCCGAGCCCTCGGGGCTCTAGACCAAACATGCACGCTAACCCAAAAATATCACACGGACTTGGTCGTACAATCAAATCACTAAAATAATATCAACAACTATGAATTTAGCATCAAAATCAAATAAAATCTCAAGAACTTTCAAAGTTTCAAGTTTTACAACTAAGGTTCCGAATCACGTCATATGACCTCCGTTTCTTACCAAATTTTACAGGCTCAACGTAAATCACATATAAGACCTATACTGGGCTCCAGAATCAAAATACGGGCCCGATACCATCAAATTCCAAACACATTTCATTTTCAAAAATTCATATTTGTTCCAGAAAATAATTTTCTTTAAAAATTCATTTCTCGGGTTGGGACCTCAGAATTCGATTCCGGGCATACTCCCAAGTCCCATATTTTCCTACGAACCCTTCAGGATCGTCAAATCATGGATCTGGGTCCGTTTACCTAAAATATTGATCGAAGTCAACTTAAATTCATTTTAAAAGCAAATTTTTATCATTTTTTTTTTTTACAGATTTTCACATAATAGCTTTTTGGATACATGCTCAGACTGCGCACACAAATCGAGGTGAGACAAAAAGGAAATTTTAAGGGCTCAGAACACGGAATTAATTTCTAAAATACGTGATGACCTTTTGGGTCATCACATTAGTGGACACAGATCCTAAGAGTGCTTTCTGGATCATGCAGAAAATATTCAAGGCTAAACATTACTTTGAGGCAGCTAGATACACTGAAGAAGATGTTCACCAGATGGAGAGATTCTCAATTAGGCAAATCTACAAAAATATCCAAGGTGAATTCCAGAAAGTGACATGAGGGAAGCTAGTATGCAACAATCAAGGAATTCCAAAGTGGATTTTTATCACGAGACTAGCATTGCTAAATATGCTATCTATAAAAGAAAGGTTAGCCAAATGAGGCATCATTCCAGATCAGATATGCTCCTTATGTGAAAAGGAGAATGAAATAGTACAACATCTCTTCTTTGAATGTTAAGTCACTAGAAGTATATGGCAGCAATTGTTGTACTGTCAAGGAGTACAGATATTGAAGAAAACTTGGCAAGAAGAGATCCAATGGATAGAGCAATTTGGTAAAGGCGGGAGTGGAGGGGATGCAATATACAAAAAGACTTTTGTTGCAGCTGTGTATCATGTTTGGCAAGAAAGGAATTGTGTTATTTTATAGAAGAAGAAAAGGTCAGCCAAAGTCATAGCACGAATGATCATTCAGGAAATTCATGTAAAGGCTAGTTGTTTTCCAAGGCTAATGAGAGCATTGGTACAGTTGAATTGGTACACAGAACTGGTCTAGGTGGAACGAGATGAGTATGGAAGAAAGATAGTGAGGATTAGATAGCTTCAAGCTGGGGCATCATGTCCAATTGAAGTTATGCCTAGAGAACATACTGCTATATGCTGATTTGTACATAATTATACATGGTAAATAAAATCTTTTACTTACCAAAAAATATTGTTGGTTAGTGGATATAAAAACATTAATTGCAGAGAATTATGTCTATCTGTTAAAATCAGAATATTCCAGAATTATAATTCTGAAATTATAACTGAGATGATAAACTGGGTAATCAATCACACCTTCTATATGAGATAAGTTATACGAAGATTTTGGTATAAAAATAAAATTAATTTAGCTAATACCTCCAATCAAATAAGGGATACAATCTAATTCCAAAATTTATATTGAAATAATCTACCTAATTCTTTGAATCAAACGACCCCTAAGAGCGTTCGATTTGGCCAAGTACTCCAAGCCAAAAAAAACCACATTAAAGCTTGTGGTGTTCTATTTTAGTAGTTTTATACGTATATATGTATGTTCCGTCAAAAATACTGAACAAACATATATGTTTATTGTCTAAAAATAACAATCAACATGTGCACTTTTATTTACGTAAATTATGTCTTCAACATTGTACCGATAGTGATTTGGCTTTGGCTTAAGAAGTTTGAGCTATTTCAAAATTTCTCCAGGCTCCATATGTGTAATGGTTGTATATATGTTTAGCTAGGAAGATAAAGTACTTGCTTTAGGAAGATTTTGTTGCTCCCAAACAATAAACTATATATTTGAGGTCTACCTGTTGCCTATATGGATGCTATTGTCATCATAGGGCAAATACAATTGCAGTTTATGTTTTAGGCTGTCTTCATTAAATAGAACTTGAAAATTGACATAAAAAGATTGTCTTAGGTGCTAACACTTGACATTATAACCTCTATGTATCTATCTCTTTTGGTGATGATCCGATCATCTTGCGCGTATCTTGACTATGCCTTAAATTTAACTATTATGGTGGAGTGACACAGACATAACAGATGAAGATACTACAAAATACAGTATATTCATTAGGTGAACTGCCTTCTAAATATTTGTGGACTCAATTGGATACAAAGAAGATAACTGTTTTGTAATGGTCACCTCTGATTGAGAAAATAGTAGCAAGAGTAACTTCTTGGACTACTCGGAAGTTGTCTTATGCTGGTAGAGTGCAATTAGTACAGACAGTTATTTTTGGTATTCAATCCTATTGGGATCAACTGTTCATCATGACAGCAAAAGTGATGAAGTTAATAGAGGTATATTATAGAAGCTACATATGTTCTGGCACTAATACAATTACAAAGAAAGCATTGATAGCTTGGGAAAAAAAGAGTCTGCCTAAATCAGTAGGAGGCTATAATTTGATAAATCTTAAAGTCTGGAATAAGGCAGCAGTCACCAAAATTCACTGGGACCTGGCTCAAAAGGAAGACAAAGCTTGGACAAGATGGATCCATGTATACTACATCAAAGGGCAAAGTATTCCTGAAATGAATATCCCACAACAAGCAATTTGGATGATGAGGAAGATTATGGAGGCTAGGAAAACCATGCAGCAAGTTCTAGATTTAAAGCAAAGGCAGAGTGTTATTAAACATATTTATCTAGGCTTACTGGGAAATCACAACAAAGTGGAGTGGAGACCTTTGATATTCTATAATGAGGCTAGACCTAAAGCAGTGTCTACAATGTGGATCCAGTGCCATGAAAGAATGCTAACAGCTGATAGATTAACCAAATGGGGAATCCAAGTAAGCCCACGATGCAGTTTATGTCTGAATGCAGATGAATCACATCTTCATCTGTTTGGTGAGTGCAGCTTCTCTAGATTAGTGTGGTTGAGATTACTGAGATGGCTACAAATATGGGATGCCCCAATGAATCCTTGGTCACAGGTGGTTATATGGTTGATTCTCCAATCCAAAGGAAAGTTGTGCAAATCAAAAATATTAAAGATGATGTATGCAGAATACATTTATGGAATTTGGAAAGAGAGGAACAGTAGAATATTTGAAGATCAAACAAGGAATGAAGAGCAAATTGTTAGAGAAGTGTCATGCATATGCAACATTAGAACATAGGGGGTAGTAAGACCAAAAATACAGTAGCTTCAGTTCTAAAAGACAATGAGCAACAATTACAAAAGACTAGAAGGCAAAGATAGTCATAGAAGTCCTTATGTACTGCATAGTATAGTTATAGAGATAGAATTATGTAAAGACTATAGCAAGTCAAGGATGACTTTGCTCGTTCGTAATGACTGCTTTAGTGATTAATGAAAAATATAATTACCAAAAAATAAAATAACTATTATGTCTTAACCGCTCACTAATATATTGATATTTCATTAAAACTGAACAATTTATTTTTCAACTGTTTTTTGAAAGAAATTAAGTTGAAATTTTAGTATTGTACAATATGATTTTTTTGGTTTCCATTTGAGACAAATAAAACGTGGAATAAGCAATTTAAGTTTCTCTCATAGATTTGAAGGTATAAAAGTTAAAGCATTACTGTTTAGGATCTTTTCTTATTTTATTATTATGAAAACCAACTCCATAACTTTATTATTCCTTACCATGGGAAAAAAGATACCATCAAAAGGAAGAAGATGTTGCCGTGGATCCGATTATTTACGATTTTTTATTTTCTGAGATAAGTGATCACAGTGCAATTACTCAGACGTGATAAAAAAAATTAAAATGAAATTATAATATTTCAATAAATAATTACGGACAAGCACAACATTGTTCTCAATCAATGGAGTAACAATTATTATGAAAAAAATTGGCGTAAACGGTTTTCCGCTCTCTTTTTCGTCAATTATATTATCGGGCTTGAAATTCTAGCTATTTCCTTAATCGTTTAGTACTAATAATTAATATCCAATTTTGAAGCTTTGAGAAACCACGTGGAAATTAATTTCCATAAAAGATCGAATAGAGAACATTTTCCAAAGGGCGTAATGCAACTCAATGTCATTTTTACCTGACAAATTTGATCAGCCAGCAGTTTCCAAACACAAGAAAACCCCCCACCAAATCCAACACTGAGTTTCGATTGTCACGTTAACTATATCATACAGCAATATATGTTAAAATAAGCACAGTAACTAAGATTGGGTACGTACTTATGAAGGACTAGTTCTAAATTACTCCCTTCGTCTCAAATTATTAGTCACTTTAACTCAAGAAAATTGTCCCATAATAATTATCATTTTCGGAATATATTCAAGACTAATTTAACTATTTTAACTATACCCTTAATATTAAAGAACTAGTATTTCTTTTTAATACTGCTCATTTTTCAAAATGCATCTAACAGGGATATCTTAATAAACTATATATATATATATACCTTGTATTTATTGTTTTTCTTAATGGTGGTGAAGAGAGCTAAAACAACAGTTAAAATGAAACATAGGGAGTAGTAAATAGAATTAGCTAATAATCACTTTTTTCCTGACAAGTAATTTAGAATTTGGATTCCTCAATCATTAACTAAAGGTATCAAATTTGAGCTCGAGAATGAAAAAGCTCATGGTATAGAAAGATCGCTTCTCCTTAAATGAACTCTATATGGTGCAAATTCGAGTTTGTCAGGTGGATTTAGGATAACTGAAGGGTTTAAAAACAAATATCTTTGTGAAGCACTAAATTAAATTCATTCAAAATCCCTCTACCTGATTCTGTTCTGGTTTGTACTTTTCTTTTCCTTAGATATTTGTTGGAATTGGCAACATCATATGTATATTGTTCTGTACATTTAAGTTACAGTGCTACAATAAATTGACTTCATTTTCTTCCTTCATTTCTAATTAATTGCTAAAAACACCAAAATCAAAAAAAAAAAAAAAAAAATCATTCTTCTTTCTGCTTCCATTCCAAACCTATAAACCTACAAGGAGAATACCTAATTTTGTATTCAGAAATAGTCTCAAGCTTTGGTGACCAAACTTGTCCTTTTGGACCAACCAATTGTTCATAATGTTTCTTCAACTCAGGTGTGCTACATAAATACTTACCATCACTAGGACTTGTAGTTGCAATATTATCTTGTGATACATCTTCGTTTCCTCTTGTAAGAAGCTTAATTATGAACTCCGGTGACACTTTTATCAAAAGCCTACCATTTTCCGCCTTAATATATTGAAATATAGGGTTCTTGAAACTAACAGGTACTCGTCTAGGGTTCGAGCCCAGGGAAGCAAGAGAAGAGGCCGAGAGCACGTTGCTTGATGAGAAGTAATCTAGAGGGAAAACGAAGTATGTGTCGCCATTTTTGAGCTTATCATCGATGTTTAAGGATGGAATAGGGTTTCCAATATAGAATGAGTCTGCATGGCAAACCATGCAGTCCGGGAACTCGAACATTAGCTCTCCGGCTAGCCTTTTTCCGGTGACCATCCTCGTCGTTCCATCGTGAAAAAATAGGTTAACCATCAATGATCTTGAAGGACAAATGGAGTAGCAACAAGGTGAAAATATTGTATTTCCCATTTTTTTCTTCTTTTTTTGGAGGTTGAAAGGAAGAAAATGAGACAAATTAGAGTAGTTGGAATAATGGTTTTCAGTTTAGGTAAAGGTCTTTATATATGGAGAAGGAGTTGACTTTGAGAATAGGTCAGTAATGGTGGCTTTGAATATGTCGATCGAGTTGTATAATTATCATCAATAAACCAATTAACGGAGTTACCCTTTAGGGTGGTGGATGAGACAAGGGAGTGCATGTGAAAAGATAAAATTGCCCAAAAGTCATCGTCTTCTATCAGCATAATATTAATTTGTAGTACTTAAATTTAACTTTCATCTACTAGATATATCCTATTATACTTTACTCAGGTTCTTTTTATATTCATAGATAATACTTAATAGTCTATACTATTTCTATAATTCTATGTAATATCCAAGTGTAAACAAATTATTCTAAAAATGAACGGGGATCACCTACTTAACAGTAGTTCATTCACACTTGGTAAGGGCGTAGCACTATAGCAGTTAAGGTGAGAATCAGAGATACAACCAATGAAGGGAGTTTTATTGAATCTCCTTCGTCCAAAATTTTTATTGAACAAATAGGGCAAAAAAATAATATTATTGGTTATATAAATAATTGAATTTCCTGACATTAGGAGAAATTCTAGTTTAATAGCAAAGGCAGTTCCAAAATTATTTTAGGTCATAAGTTCAAATTCTAGACATGACATGATTCAGTAATTTTTGGGAATTATTTTTATATAAGATACTGGTTTCGTAGTGGGCAATCTCTTTCTCAATGAATAGCGCGATTTAGAGTGTAATTTGTCCTTGTGTTGATGTTTATGTCAAATTGCTAGTTGAGAACCAAATAAAAACAATATTTTAATTAAAACAGTCAAACTTTTGAATTCTAACAACCAAACACATGATTATAACAAGAGTTTAACCTCAAAAAAACATGTATCGAACTAATAGTGGTTGACTTATAAGTTTTAATATTTAAAAATTAAATTTGCACATTGATACATTTGATAGAGCAAGTTGTATATGAATATTTCTCTTTAAAACATCTTGATCTAGTGAATGGAATTTAGTCATAATAGCTATAGTAGCATTCAATTGTTCTTTTTATTTCCCTAGCTTAGAACGAAGGCATGCTATGAATGTTTAAAAAAAATAAAAATGTATCCCGTAAATAGGGTCTGAGAGGATATTATGTAGGCAATTTTACCTCTACCTTATGCAGGTAAAGAGGCTATTTTCGGCGATTTCATTTTAATACATATATATTCAGAATTGCTGCAATTAAGATGTTATTTTGACTTTCCAATTGTGGCTAAGACTCTAAGATTGAGATTTATCTGCACATCATTATCGTATTTGCCTTCATAAGATTTAAGTTGATGGTAGGCTATAATTGCGTATTTTAGTCGCTTATTACACTCTAATTTACTGCACTTTAATTGAGTTTGAACTTTAATCGCTAGTGTTTTGCCCTAAATATGTATTGTATGCCTTGTAGGAGTGATTCCGATCTATGTAGGCGTTATAGAATGAATTCAAGTGATTTGGAGCTTTGAAGTCTGAGTAAAAGCCCAAGACATTAAGCCGGGATCGTGTTCGGAGGTCGTGTACCAAGTTCGGATGTTAAAAGAGGACGAAATAAGTTCACTCTAAGAAAATTACACTACCGCGCCGCATGGGCCGCCGCAAGGTGCGGCGCAGCACTGTAAAATGCTGCCTGATGCGAAAAGTTGAGGCTGCTGATAATTTCCATTAGCGCGCCGTAGGGTGCGGCGCATAGTGCGGAACGGCTGTACAAAATTTACAGAGCCAGAGTCCTATTTCGCGCGAGAGAAGGTGTTTTCGTCTCGGCTCAACCCAACTTGGTATATATACATGGAAAAACGTTACTTTGAAGAGATCTAACAGACTTTTGACACATCTTCGACCTAGGGACACACTTTAGACGTGGAGGAACATACATCACGCTTGGAGGAGGCTTCTAACTAGTTTTTCTTCTCTTCTCTTCCTTTAATTTCATAGTCCATTAGTTCTAGAGTTTTTGGTGCTACATGAACGTTGTAGTTTGAAGCTTGAATTGTTCTTATTATTTTATCATATTGGTTTATTTATTCAATCTTGCGCTTAATTATTGGATTGCTTGATCACCAATTGAATACTATCTACGAATCTAGGATTGAACTCGGGAGAGGGAATTTTAGATTGCATATAAGATTGAGTAGAACAAGATCTTAACTCTTAGGGAGGGCGAATTTGCGGTTAGGATAGGGATATACCTAATCGCCTTGCTTGGTTACTATACAGGATATTAATGTGTTCTTGTTAATTCTAATTCCATAGGAATATAGGTGTTAGATTAGCTTGAATAGGCGAGTTGTACTTCGGGAGAAGGCTACGAGCAATATTAACCCTATCAACCAATAAACCAGATAAATTAATTAAACGATTTAAGTGGAAAACTCAACGGGATTGTTAGCTAACCCATAACTCTAGAATATTCACCCACATTGAATTCGCCGCTAAGCTTGTCGTTGTTTTCTTTGATCTCTTAATTTGTAACTTTAGATTAATTTTAGTTAAATATTCATACTTTAGGATTCGCTTGAATAGATTAATTGTTTGGTTTAATTAGTTGATGGTTAATCACAAGTCCCTATGGGTACGATATCTGGACTTACAATCCTATATTACTTGTCGATCACGTATACTTGCGTGTGCGTTTGGGAGCAACAAGTTTTTGGCGCCGTTGTCGGGGACTTAGAAATTAACTAGTCTACTAGGTTAGATTTTTACTTTTTTTTTTAATTCAAGTTTCTTTTTATTTTTATCTTAATTTAATATTTTATTATCTTTGTTGATATGGCATCTTGGAATGATAATTGTTCGAATATTGGATATTCTTATTATGGTGATCCTTGTCCATATTTTGGAGGACCACACTTGTGGCAAAATTGTGAATCTCAATCTTATGGGTGGAATATTTGTAATATGTGTGGTGGTCAAGGTGGCCATTGGGATGGTTGTCCTAATTCTTATTATCCTCATAGAGTTCTTATTATAATATTTTTAATAATGTTTATGAGTTTAATAGGAGCAATGAAGTGGAGGATATGGAAAGCATGACTCGTATTATGGACATGATGAGGCAAATAGTCGAGCAACAAAGTCTTGATGCCTTAACGATCAAAAGACTCCAGGCTAGAATGGATAAATTAATAGCCAATTTCCAAGAAGAACCTCAATTCGATGAAGAGAGCGAGTTCCCACAAGAAGATTATTTTGAAGAAGCAGATATAGTGAGCCAATCTTGGTTTGAGGAACAAGCTAAACTGATAAAATCTCATGAATTTCTCTGTGATGGTCTTTCGAATATGACAGAACAACTGATAGAAAGAAGAACTGAGCTCAGGCAAGAAATAGACCAATTTGGCTTAGATATCTATGACATTCATGATCAATTGAATAAAAAGGTTGAGGCGTCTGATGTCTTACAACCAATTTTTGTGGATACTGGCCAGCTTGAGGAGCGGAAAGAGGAATTTCAACTATCCGACCAAAATATTATTAGTGATGTTAAGGTTGACGAAGAGTGCAAAATTGAGGATGTAAAAAATAATGCAATTTTGGAGTTGGAGCGTATTGGACCTCATTCTAAACACTTTTCAACATTGTGTTAGGTTGGTGACATGAGAATTGATCCATTCGAGCATATGGAGGAGCCAATAGATGAGGAACAAAGTATTTATATTCTGAAATTTGCGATACCAAAAAGATAAAATGACATCCCTCACTTAAAAGCCAAGAAGTGCAAGATGCGATATCTATTGCTTGGTTCCTTTATTTTCACACCACCGCCTTATGAACTTGACAGAAAAATTGATGCAAAATTGGGGGCACAATTCATATCCTCAAAGTGGAAGCAAAAGTGGTGAAAGTGATGGCGTCGTACCGCGACGTTAAATCAAGCGCTTGTTGGAAGGTAACCCAAGCAATCCTTCACCAAGACCGCTAAGTATTTTTATGACGAGCTCTTCATTGGTCAATGGAGACCCACTGGATGCAAGATCAACGGCAACCGATTTTATCTCTTTCATGTACTCAGCTACTGTACGAGATTCTTTTCGAAGATTGGAAAGGATGTCGCGAAGGCCAAAGATTCTTGATTGTGATCTGTTTGCAAATGTTGTTTGGAGTATTTCCCAGGCATGCTTAGCAATAGATGCTTGGGCTATCATTGGGGCAATGGAATGTTCAACAGATGCCATGATAGCATTGCGAACTAAGCTGTCCTGGCGGAGCCAGAGCTTGAAGTTGGGGTTGATCAATTGCTTATCATTTTCTGTGTAGTACTCAGCGGGACAACTAGAGGAGCCGTCAATAAATCCCAGTAGATCGTAGCCGAATAGTAGAGTTTTGACTTGGGCTTGCCATGTTGAATAGTTTGTGCTTCCTGCTAGTTTCAGAGATAGTTGGGAAGCAGGGTTGAAAGATATTAATTGAGATGGTTGAACTATGGAGTTATGACCATAGACAAGTGATGGAGTGGAATTGGCTGTTGATGATGAGGAATTATTTTCCGTCATTGTGAAACTTAGAGCAGATTACTAACTCGTTGGAGTGTCAATTGCGCTGATACCATAAAAGTTATATATTTGCATAACTGAGATCAACCATTCATAATACAAGAGTACAATGAGCTTGGGAGAATAGGAGTCTACAAAGATAAGATACAATCTAAACAGATAAGTATTTGAGTTCAAAAGGAATTATCCATTTGAGAAGTTGTTAGCCGTGATTATCTTCTATAATTAATATGTTGATCGTGTCACAGGAATTCGACCTCTATTGTAATATAATTTAATTAACCAACTATTAAATGAGAATTCAAACCTTCAATAACCAAA